CAGTTTGATGTGCACTTGGAGACATTTTTCAATACATTTACACACACACATTTACATATGCATATATACATTTACATACACATATCTACAGATCTGTTTTGTTTGTTGTGTATTATAAAAATGCTATCTTGCTGTACTTGTTTTTCTGCAACTTTTTTGTTTCCTTACTTAGCAACATGCCTTGGAAGGTTTCCATGTCAGTACCCATAGATATAACTCATTGTTTTTAATTTAAGAATGGGTGCCCCTGTCTCCGAAGTTGCAATGGTAGAAGCATGCCATAGACAGCCAGGGACCCAAGAGTGGGCGGGCTGGACTGCGGAGGTGGGTCAGGGACGCACAGCAGAACCCGGAAGACCAGGGGCTACTGGCGCTGGCCGCTGCCCGCCCCTTCCGGCTCCTCCTGGTGGTGATTAGAGGGCAAGAGCCGAAGTGCTGGAGCCATAGAACAGCGCTGTTGACGAATATCCCACTCAGCGCTACATCAGGGGTTGGAAAAACCATACTAGGTGTAGAAGTTGCATCAAGATTTGGACTGAAATACATTAATGTGGGTAGTTTAGCTGCAGAAGGGTAGTTGTATGATTGCTATGATGAAGGGTATGATTGTCCCAATTTAGGTGAAGATTGAAATAGTTATGAGTTGGATAACCAAATGAGAGAAGGTGGAGTCATTGTCAATTACCATGGTTGTGATTTCTTCCCTGAACGCTGGTTTTATATAGTTTTTGTGCTGAGAACAGATACCAGTGTATTGTACAAAAGACTTGAAACAAGGGGTTATACATAATGAGAAGAAACTAAAAGAATATTCACTGTGAGATTTTTCAAGTTCTTTAGGAAGAAGCCACGACATCCTACAAGGAATAAATCATGCATCAGCGGCCCAGCAAGAAACCAGAAAAACTAGAAAATAATATAGATTGAATCTTGAAGTGGATTGAGCAGTGGATCAAAGACCATAACTCTTTTTTTTTTTATTTCAGCATATTATGGGGGTACAGATGTTTAG